TTCACGCGAAAAGTATCCAGGTGCGAAAATAAAGGATATCTGATGAGGGTGCACCAGAGTGTACTAATCATATCTTGTACATGTTCTCTTAGTTGAGGAAGTTTAAAAAAACGCGAAAAGTTGAGAAATTAGGCCAACTAGTAATAAAGAGAAGATACATTTCCATTAACCACACGAAGATCAACACGTGTAAAAACTGTTCAATGTACTTTCAAGATGGCTTGCCTCTGTTAAGCTCTGTTTCGGCATCAAAACTTTTCACCACAATTCATCGTATTTATTTCCGCAGACACCATATGCATTATGCTATTAATAGAATCAGCGATAGGAAATACCTTGATCATCTCAGCAGTATGGAGGACGGCTGCCGTTCGCTCTGCTTCGCTTAATGCTTTCATGTACACGAGATCTTTTTAATATGTATGTAGCTGATATGGATGAGGTAAAATCAGGGGATGTATTTTCCTCTAGTTAATTACAGAACTTTCGTCAGATAACTGAATGCTTTTGTTTCTCCGCGCGTATTAATTAAAGATTTTTTCCTTTGTCAGACATCTCATTCTTATTTCCTGGCTAATTCTCTCTATTTTTTTAATTGTTACGGATTTAAACCTGACTGTGTTGTTTAACATTGCTCAGTTTTTCAGCAATGGAAAATTCAAAATAATTATGTGTCTATCATCTGCCAAAACTTCAAAGGAGGTCGAACATAATACCGAATAGTCATCACTAGATCTCCTTGGGCTGTAATTCGTTTTTTTGTCCAATGTTATATTTCCTCAAAGAAAATCTTTGTAATTGAAAATAAATTCAGATTTAAGCGACAACCCTTTGATTCTTAAATAGTAAAAGGCAATATTTCGTGTCTTTCGTCAATGGAGGCACATTTCCCTTGCAGAGCAGCCAGGTGCAAGAACAAAACACATATCATAGAAGTGCACTAGGTGAACCAGTAACAGGAAACATATGCTTTAAATCTCATGTATGTGTTCTTGGTTTAGAATTTTATTTTTTCTGCGATAGCTTTATTTTAGACAGAAAACTGCATCTGTCAGGGAAATTCGACCAACACAGCTCTGGTCTAGTTTTAAACTAAATTCCAATACGGAGATCAGCATGCACAATAACTGTTCCATAGCAGAACTCAAGAATACTTGCCTCGATCTCGCTGTATTTCAGCATCAAAACGTTTCACCACAATTCATAGTTTTCATTTGCGCAATTAACATTATACTATTAATAACATCAGCAATTGGAAATACTTCGGTCATCTTAGCAGTATGGAAGACTTCTTCGCTTCGCTCTCCTTGGATGGTTTTTCTCTCTGGACTCGCCACAACTGACTTCGCTGTTGCTGTCTTTGTTCAACCATCATTTGAAGCTTTCACTCTGATGCTGCTTTTTTCAAACTCTGACATAAATGAGTGTTATTTCGAAATTATATTTGGCACTCTTTGCTACACGGTGTGCGCTGTTTCTTTGATGACCGTTACAGCCATCAGTGTAGATAGGTTCTTAGCAATTCAATATCACTTGAGGTACTCCAGCATCGTAACTGTTCCACGAGTCATCTATATTACTGGTATGATCTGGTTAATGGGTGGATTTTTGGCAACCCTCTTACTATGGGCAGGGAAAAGGGTTTTTCAAATAGTCCTGACTTGTGGAATAGCATTTTGCCTCTCTATGTGTACAATTGTGCATTTCCAAATTTATCAAAACGTTCGTCGACATCAACGACAAATCCAAGCACAAGTGCAGGCAGTACAAGATGGGACTGGATTACAGATGGCGCGATTTAAAAAAACAGCTATCAACGCCTTTCTAGTTCATTACTTTCTACTTTTCTGCTATACTCCAGTGTTCATATCGATATTATTAGCCAGAAATTTTGAAAACAGACCTGGTTTTGATTCATGGAATGAGTTTTATAGTCCAATTGTGTGGAATACATCAGCAACTATAGTGTTTATGAATTCGGCTTTCAATCCATTAATCTATTGTTGGCGGCTTCGAGAAATGAGACTCTCTGTAAAAAGAACCTTAAGGAGGATGGTATGCAAGAATTGATTTCGCTCGAAAAAACGTTTTTAGACTGCTTTTCACTGATATGTATTGCATTATTTTCGTAATTTTCCTCAAGAATGTTTTTTCTTCCTACTCCTTGTTCCGAATTTTTGGCAGTTTTAGAGGTTAAATTTTCAGCGGCAGTTGAAAGGTGTTTATTATAAAGGTCATAGCTTTGTCAGCCATAACTAGTTTTCTGTTTTTCGACTAATAGGAAACGAACTTTACTTTGGAATAAAGAGTGGTTTTCTGTACATTCTGGATATTTGAGTTTGCACTCGTATTTCTTTGATTGAACAAATGTTGTAAAGTAAAGGGATTGCAGAGAGAGGGTAACTCAAGATGTGACGGTTATGAAAGCCTCATCTAATTTGGTTTTCTATTTTATCACGATATGGGCGTCGTGTGCTCTCATTGCGCCGCGTTCTAGACGTTGCTGACGCCATTACAGCTGGTCCGAATAAATCAACAAGAAGTTTCTTTTGGTCAGGCAACTCAAAATTATTGAATACTGGTAAAATTTGTGTCAGGTTAACAAAAATTAAGAAAAAAACATGCAAAGAAAAATTATGTCGGCTCCTTTAACTAGTCACCTCCACTAATTATTTAATCTACTCCTTTTTGGCCGTATTAGAAAATGATAAACAGATTATGAATTTAGAAAATGCAGTTCTTTGTACGCACGCCTGTAATGATTGAGTATTTTCCCCGCGCCTGTGTCTGACTGAGCTATTACTTGCGATTGATCTTGACGGCTTCTTTCGACCGACCCCCTTTTCGTCCTTGGCACCTCCCGATAGTTTCTTTACACTTGACAACAAGTGCTGCATAGAATATACTGTATTTGGAAACGTATTTATAGCATTTTCGATTTTGGATTACATCTGATTCGTCTCTAGAGGAAAAGGTCCTTGCAAGGGCAGAAAAAGTGAGAGAAAAAAGGTATTTTTCAGATAGGTAGGAGGAGGGATGTCGTCCCTTAAGGGCTGCGTCCGTTGAGCTGAAGCACAAAAAGCGCAATTGGGCTAATAGCATCAGGTGACCAAGTTTGCTCCCATCTGAAACTGGAGAATTTCTGGACGGTGATGAAAGGATACGTTAGTAAACATTTGAACCTACGTACTGCAAAAAGTATTTGAAAGATCAGTGATAAAAACACAGTAGCTGCTCTTTGAAGCAACAAGTCTTTTTTTTTAAAGTCTGTTCGTTAATCCTCTCAGCTTTTCTCATATATCGTGGCAGATTGTTCCCTTCCCGGGACAGATGATGTCCCCAATCAAATAACCGTGAATATTTTCTTTCCAAAGGGAGGCTAGATTTTGTATTGTCATCGTAGCTCCGGTGAAATAACATTTTTTCATTTCTTTGGTGTGATAAAATAAAAGAAAAGCTTTAATTTCAATCAATTTTTGTTTACATTTTTGTCACTCTGTTTCTACTTTGGTGAACAGAAATACAAGACTGTAAACATTTTCCGGACGAGGTAAATAACAGCCAGGTTTAGTTGAAATAATCCGCGAACGTTGACATGAAAAGATGACTGAAATACGCGATTGTCACAAATATCTGAGAGATGTCATTAAGTAATTGGATGACTCTAGCAATGGTTTAAAACTTTTGTTTTCGATTGCAAAAACTTAACATACTAGGGCAGGTGTGCTTTGCGAGTTCTGATGAACAGACATAAGAGACTGTAACCAATTTATGGACAAGTCAAATACCAAAAATTTTTAATCGAAACAATCCGCCTACGTTGACAAAAAATATGACTGAAATACCCAATTATCACTAAAATATGAAAGGTGTCATAACGCTCATCGCAATTGGGGGACCATAGCAATGGTATGGACAATCTTTTTCCTAAACTTACTCTTATCTTTTTATTTTACACGATTGATACCGGAAAAGATCTTTCCTTTACCTATTACTGACACCCCCAACTTGAAGCCGTTAAATGTCATCTTATCCTATTACAAAGTCTCAAACAATATTTGCAATACAATTTTTGACAATTTTCATTTGAAACGTAGCCATCATAACTAGAATGGGTTGTGAGGTATACGCAAACAACCTTTATCCAATAGCACCTCATTAATTAACTAAAACATGGCGTTAAACAGTTGGCTGACAGATTTGATAAGGTTCATCGCAAGTAAAAATATAAAAATCAAAGACATAAGTATTCTTGGGTATTCTAATGAATGATAGACGATCTCACCCTAGCTGTGTACCAGAAAGATGCGTAAATGAGCTGCCCTTTGAAAGCTCTTCCCTCAAAAGATAATTGTTGACTTTGAGGAAGGGGTGAACCTTTCCCTAAACAAAATTTCTGTAAAACTAATTATCAACGAGGAGGCGCGGTGGCCTCATGGTTAGTGCGCTCGACTCCGGATCGGGTGGTCCGGGTTCGAGCCCTGGCCGGGGTTATTGTGTTGTGTTCTTAGGCAAGACACTTTACTCTCTCAGTGCTTCTCTTCACCCAGGTATACAAATAGGTACCAGCAAATGTGCTGTGGGTAACCCTGCGATGGACTAACATCCCATCCAGGGGGGAATAGCAATACTCCTAGCCGCTTCATGTTCAGAAAACCGGAGTTAAGCGCTGGCCCCATGGGCCACTTGGGTCCGTATAAAGGCTTTACTAACAATCAACGACAGACTCATAACGGATGGATGTTTATTAACTCAATCAAGCTAACCGGCAAGTAGCAAAGTTATTAAAACGGAGAAGAGATGAAAATCCTCAATGAGAAATCGAAATGCTGTTGTTATCGTTTGTAGCGCATTTTCCGAGTGCGCCATTCACAGCAATTGAAAACCAGCCGCTCACAACGGAGCATGTTTAAGGGAATGCGTAACCAGTCCCGTCGTCGCCTAAAACATCAATCAAATGGTCACCATCGCACGATGGCATCTATATCGCTAGAAAAAAGATAATAACTAATCTTTTGAACCGGAGTTGTCGACAGTTATAGTCAGATGCTTATGATCCTATAAGGCAAATGAGGCCAAAATTGTGAACAAGCATTTCCCTTTCTTGATTTCAGTTAATGCTATAAAATCCACTTATATATAGTTGATCTTTCTGCAGACGTCTGTATTGTGTGGAGCGATTCTTGAAAGGGCACATAGATCTGTCGGATTATTTGAAGTCATCTGAGGCTGTGACTTTCCCAAAGGATCCTTAAAGAGCAACACAAAAGCTTTGCGAAACCTGTGAAAAGAAGTATACTTAATGTACATCATCCGTGCATTATGCATCGAATGCTGCACACGATGTAAGGGATAAATCATTTCTCAAACAATTCCCAGGTATGTCAAATACTGCATACAGCTGAGAATAATAAGTCATATGAGTTTTGGAGATGAAAAATGGGCACTTTTCAAAGAAATGATATTAGAGGACTGTCATCCATTTTTATCAATTCTGAATTGATGTTTCCATGAGCTGAGAGATTCTCCGCTAACTAACTACTTATTACCCATGGAGGGCTATCAAAGTCTCACGCCTTGATTTTATTATGAAACATTGTAATGTAGTGACTGGTACAATATTCCTACCTCTGAGTCTTAAGTGCATAGATAATAGGATTCGCCATGCCGTTCAAATGCCCGAGGAAATACGCGAGGAAATGAGACCATGTACCATGGATTTTGGAGATATTGTGTAACAACATCGGTAAAACACCCATCAGGAGAAACGCCATCACAGTTAAACATATCGTCTTCGCAGTTTTCACGTCGTTTTTAAAGCGCTTCCCAATCGAACAAAACGTAGAGATACGTTTGTTGTGTTGGTGCACAGAATACCAAATGTATGCACCCGCGCAGAGCATAATCATGAACGGAACGAGGTATCCAGGAATGATGAAAAGCCTTCCGAAATTTTTGAAATAGTGTTTCCTGTAAACCAAAACAGGGGCGTCTCCAAGATCAATATCCAAACCCAAAACAAACATTCCATACGTATAGGCAGCGGCAAGAATCCATACCATCAACACAGCTACCTTCGCCTTTTTAACTGACTTCCATGAGTAATACCAAATGCTGTGGACGATGGCTCCAAAGCGGTCCATTGTCATCGCAGTAAGATTGAACACTGTGAGGTACATGAGCAGCACGTACCAAGTCACAATGAACCAAGATGTTGCACGTCCATTTAGATAAGGCACTTTGCAGATGTACCACATGATCATGAGAGGCATGTTGGTCACAGCGTTGAGGATGTCGACGACAGCTAAGTTCGCGATCAAAACATTCGTCACTGTTCGTAGAGTCTTAAACCTAATGAGTAAAACACATATCATACTGTTCCCTATCACGGATCCCACCATAACCAAGGCGATCATCACGATTTGTGAGACCTTGACTGCATCGGTACAAGAAATCGTCTTTGCTTGGACTGACTCTTGCATTGCCGTGCCAACTCACGAGAAACCAATCCAGGTAGTGTAGTCCTTATCTAAAGCTTCATCAAAGACGAAAATAACATCTGGTCAGCCACGAGTCCTTTTCTTTAGATCCCATCGACTTGTTATGCATCTAAATTTCTTCAAAAATCACATAGAAAAGACCCTCAGAAAAAGTTTAAAGCCTTTTATGATTCCCTTTGATCTAACCTCAGACGTGCTGTCTACCAGCTCGGCTAGAATTGAGCTTTGTTAACTACGCACGCTACTCCTTGTTATCACGAACTACTAATTTAGCAACATTTCGTTAATTTTGTTATTCCCGTTTGTATTGCTCTTGAAGAATTGAAGTCTTATTTGGATTAAACCTGATGAACATTTTATAATGAGGCCTTAACTTCTATCGCAGCGTCTGCAACCTAGACCGAAATTTCCTCGCAGACCATTAACGTACAGAAAACAGCCTATTTAGGGCATTTGCCAAATTACTGAGAGTGTCTTTTACTGGCTAACAGATGCAGCTGCTGAGTATGCTGTTCGTGATTCAAATCGAAATTTGAAGGGAATGGTCTATTAGGAGTTAAAATGAATGGTTTTCTACCGCTTCTGCTTGAATTTCCCTGAAATAAAATGGAAGAATTGTTTAAAATGGATTTGCATTAAATCAAACTGTACCTGCAGCTAAACAATGTGAACTAGTGAATCATCATCTTATCTCATTTGTAACTTATGTGAGCTTCACGAAAAGGAACAATATTTCACCAACAAACCCGACACCATCATCGGTAGCTGCGGAACGCAAAACCAAGTTGGCGAAGGAAAGATTGATATCCCTATACGGCAAAATTGTGCATAGAGCAATCCTGTGAATATTTGCGTGCAAAATTGAAAGATTAAGGCGGAAGCAGCTCTTTGCGGAACAAGGCATTGAAGCAAATACAAAGAGCCTAATTTTAACACTAAGCATTAGAACGTGATGCTCTTTGAAACTAATTAATATTGGGCACTTTTTAGTTACTAAAGGAAAAATTAATTCACTTTCAAATATAACGAAGAAAAAGTCATTTTCACAGTTTGGCGATCTTGAAATTACAAGAAATGACGTTTATAAGGGTAATACTCCTTAACTTCGCAGTGTTTAATGGAGTATTTTGTTCTTCAGCGTCCATCATTTATTTTATTAGCAAAAAAATTTAAATTTGCATATTGTAACTCAATTAATGGCATCTCAAGGAAGCTTTATTTATTCTAAATATTATTCACTAGATTTTCCTTATTTATTTCATACTCCATAAAATTTCGTTAGCTTGCAGATAACCGGGGCTCAATTACCCAATATCGCTCTGTTTTGTTATTTTTAACGCAAAACAACAAAAAAAGACGAAACAAGCATTGCACCTGCTCCCTTAAAATTTAAAAATTGGATAAATTTCGGTCAGCAATTTCCAGTTTGCATTATCTCGCACATTGATCAGAATGAGTATGGCATGTCACTCTAATTTTTAACCAGTCGATCCGTATTATCGAAAACAAAGCGAATACGGGATCTGCTATAAATGGGCTCCATATATGCCGGAGGTATCAGTGACGTTTCGTATTGAAGATATTGTCAAGGTAACACCCATTAAAATATACACATAAATGTGTTTGAGAGGTGCGGTGCTAAAATTATCAATGAAAATAGGAAACATGACGGAGAGCTGATTTTTGAAGTGGCAATTTGCTTCTCTGTTTGTGTTATTCCTTTTTTAATATCCGGCTTGTAGCTCTTTAGGTAAATAATTAAAAGTTGCGAAGAAAAATGGCATGGTTGGAGCCTAAAGTCGCACCCACGTATTTCAAGAAACAAATATTTGGTTTGATGCGTAATTTAGTAGAATTTCCTTATTTACCCAAGTAACTGGCTCTTTCTCGGTGTAACAAGCTTTCGGCTGAGTTGGCACTAGGAATAAAAGAAATGGAAAAAAATAGAGCCGTTGAAAATAAAAGTGAGACTAAGCTGCAAATTCCCAAAAATTGCACAATTGAATTGAAAATAACCAAACGATACAATTTAGAGAAACAACATCCTGATAACTTGACTTATTCCTGGTGCTGAACCTTTTATACTAAAACACATAACGCATTCCATGACTTAATTAAGTGAACTACAACCTGTAAAGAGTGAATTTAAAGCCTTTACTCTTTTTACGAGGAAGTGTTAATAACCTCTCGCAGTCGCCTAGAATGTTCTTTACACGGCTTCGCGATTTTTTAAATAATTTAATGGATCTTTACTACATATCCAAATAATTTTCCTCTTACAAAATGGTTTTGAATAAATTCTGCATTATTGCTAAAAGAGGTTATGATCATTTTCTGAAGGGGAATAGAGCTATAAATAAATTTAACTGACTACAGCTCAAGGAAGGGTTCGACAGCCACATTTTTATTAGTAGCTGCAAAAGAGCATTCTCCCTAAAAACCAAAATGTTTTTATCTTTGAAATAACAGCCGCCATATATTCACCCCCAGCCAACTGTAGCAGCTAACAACAGCCATTTTCTCCACTGTGGCATTCATAACGTTCCGATCGCATGTAAAAGGAGAGGAAATCGTATTTTGCGGAACTTTATTTTTCTTCTTGGGTATAATAAGAACGACTAGCATTCCATTCATAAAAAATACGAACGAATTAAACGTGTGCATTATACTGGGTAAATATATCAAAGGAAACTCTTGTGGCTTAAAATACATCGTCGTGGGATGTTGCCTGATAGCAATCAAAGAATCAAAATATATTAAAGTACACATGGCAACCAGGTGGACAATCAGACATGGTTTGATGTTACTCTGGTTTACAGATTTAATGAATGTAACCGAATAAGTTACAATTCATAGACCCAGCGTTTCGACACTCCTGTCTGGTGCCATCATCATAGGTGATCTAAACGCTGCAACAAGAGGTCCTTTTATATGATCACTAATTAGCTGCCTTTTTTCTGACGAGGAGTAAATGGGCGTCAGGAAGTAAGCCACCATCATCACGATATAAAGGAACGTGGGCGGAGTTAATATGCCAAGCTTCCAAACAAGGGCGCCGGTGGTAACGCCGATTAGTGGTGATAATTTTAGACTTATCCCACCCAATTGTATGGTTAGTTAGGCAAGTGTGCTCCGCTAAAGCTGAATTTTCTTTTTTGCAAAAGAAAACCGCTTTCTGATGCTCTTTCAAAAGTGTACCAAACTGACGTTTGGTCTGTCCGATGTATTCGTTGTTACCGTCATTGCAAGGAATAGAATAAATGGCGTCGGTTCGTTGTTCTTTCGAGACAGGATCCTTGGGTTTGTCAAAAATATGCCCCAAGTTTGCAAACAGAATTTATATGCCTTTTTAAATCTTTCAACCACAGCCTCCCTCTGGTCTGTTTCCTCTGGAAATTTAAAATTCCCTCCTCCCCCACACGATTCCTTTGCTTTCAGACTCCAGTCAAAAGAACACCACTCTGCCCTAACCATTTTAGAGTCATTAAAACTGAATGAAACTTTGCTCACTATATCTAAATTGAATTAACCTTAAACTAAATGGAGTGAAATTAATTAAATCTAATCGCGGAAATGATATTGACCACGGTAATTGATAGTATTACGCCTCGGTCATATCCTAATTCACGAACTTAAAGCACAAAAGGTTTAAGGTTAAGTAAAAAAAATTTGGGGATCTTATCCTTTGAAGAGCACTTGAATGTACTTATTTATTTCAATAGACTCTGAGAGACGACTAGGTCATGGTAGGTAAGCCCTTACTTAGACGTAGTATCCAGAGTACTTATGTCCTTTATCCTCGACGACTGCTTTGATTGCTCTGATAATAATTTAAAATCTGGTGTTTTTTTTTCAATCTACTAAGCTTAAATCACGGAATCGTTAAGTAACTTCATGTAAAGATTCCGAATAAACAGGTTTCAGAGAACAACTGGATATAAATCAAGGTTATTCATGGTTATAACTGTTATAACTGTTGCATAACGTACTCGTTGAGAACAAAGGTGTAGCCATCACAACGCTATCATGACTCATTTGCAGGGAAAGAGCTGAGTAAAGAACAGACTATAGGTTCCAATCTATGTATATTTTTATCTTTTTGACTGTCTCAATTGCATCTCAAGCCTTACAACTTTAGGTCATTCGTTTTCCCGTTAAGAGGTGTTGTATCTCCCATAGAACAGACACCATAGTGTCCTGGTTGAAAGAAAAAAAGGCTTTTCTTTTAAGGAGATGACCGAGATCAACGAATTAAGGCTTTATCACCGATCACATTCTTACTTGGAACTTACAGATCGATAAGATTACAAGAAAGGGTAACTCAGGTTTAGGATTATTCACAGGTACTTGTAGAGACCTGTCAGAGACCTTGTGCTGCACCTTTGTTAAAAAGCAAATACATGTAGAAAACAGCTCAGTAGCCTGGTCCCCCAGCTATTAGCAACAATTCAAGACTGGATTAAATACAAGTGTCAGCAAATTCATCCTGAGATACGCAGACCGTTTATAACTGTTATAACTGTTGCAAAACGTACTCGTTGAAAAATAATGGTACCTATGCGTGTTTTCACACAGCCTTTAGAGGTTTCATTATGGTTGACGTAAGAGACTACATTAATTTTCTTTCAGACAAGGGACTTTACTGTAGGCTGATAAGCTTTTTCCATGGACGAACTTCGGCTTGAAAAATGTTTCAAACTTAAGCAAATTTTAACTGATTGTTCATATGTGGAATTCCCTTATTCTTTACACTCGAGTCTTTCGATGAATCTAGAGTAAGGAACCTTTTACTGAGCCCGCAATTAGCTCTTTCGTAGAATTTTGTCTCTTATGGCTATTTTTACTGCTATTGTATTGTTTTCTTTTTTCTCAGCTGGGTTGAGAGTGATATCCTTAATGGATTAAGACTCTCTTAGTGGCCATTTAGGCTGTCATACCACTAAATTTCAATTAATTATCACCCTTATCACTTTTTTGTCATGAAATTCTTAATCACTGTTAATTAAATGTGGAAACTTAATATTGCGCCGAAAAGTCACCGAATATGCTGAGGACAATTTTTTACCTGTCAAGTTCTGGCAACCTCAGCACAACTGTACTCAGTTAAACTCACATATTCCAAAGAACATTAGTAGACTTTTCAAATGAACACTTAAATAGAGCTATTCCTTTGAGCAATTAACTATTTGGACTTTACGGGCTTCTGAGAGCGAATGGTCCATGTATGATAAGCCCTTCACGCAATATGTAATATCAAGGGATCCGTCATTATCCTCGAAGGCTCCTTCGGGTTGATTCTTGAAAGACAATACTTTAACATCAGGTGTTTTTCACTCTACCAAGCTTGAATGATCAAACTCACGAAATAAATTTACAAAACTTCCCGAAAAAAGTGAGGAATCAGTGACCAAATGGGTTCTGAAATGACGAAAAATTATGGCCAACCATGACATCAGCTTTCTCGTTAAGACCCGAGTTTCTAAATGAAAAATCGCTTTTCTTAAATGGGACTAAGTGTAGAGCAAAACAAAGGTTTCAATTAAGGACTTTTTTAAAAACTTTACTCGCTTCATACGCTGTGCAACTTATGGTTAACTGGTTCTCTTCTTACGTGTTGTTGTGAAGAACGGATTACAGAGGTTCCTGGTTGATAGTAAAGGTTATGCCTGGTGTACTATACCATCCGGCCCTCCGCGAGAATCTATTTTGGGAGCCTCTCTCTTTTTGTATATGCAAATGCAGAGCTGAAAACTAGACGGAGAGAGCTCATTAAACCGGACCTAAGCTTAGTGTCTATCCCAATGACTGCTTAACTTTTCGGAGACGATCTGTCTAAGCAAGTCAAAGATATCTCCGAAGTAG